AAGATAATGAAATAATCTTTTTTAATAATCTTAATCTTACACATCTTTTTTTAACCTCTTCCTTATTGAGAAGAAATTTGGTCAGTAAGTAGGGAAAAAGTGTACTATTTCTGATTTAATTTTATAAAAAAATTAAACTTAACCTGTTATTACTTAATCGCTAATTGTTATACAATAAATTCCAAACACGCATTAAGTTTTGTGATTGTAAAACGTTGGTTTAAAACATTCCCATCTATTCAGATTGTCATATCTACATCATCAGTCGAGACGTATGATTGTCATATCTACATCATCTTGACAAAAAAAGACAACAATGACGTTAACAACAAATTTTATTTTTTAATTGGTGATTAGGGAAATAGCGCAAACGCAGTCTCCCCACTATCAGAAATTGGACACCGATTTACCCACTTTTGGGTAATCGCAGAGTCAATCCAACCTCAGTGTAATGGTTGAATCTTGTCCGCGGAGAACCGCCTTGTTGATCACGGTATCTCCAGTGCCTGTACAGTGTAACTTTCCGTTGTTGTATTTGTCGTTATATGCTGAAGAATGTTTACTGATAATGGTGTGTATTTTATATTAACATCTACAATTTTTTAAAACAATGCCCTCTGTTAAAATAATTTTTTCATTCAGATATCATTTTATGTTGCAAAACTTGCTAAATGTTGCAAAAACTTGCAAGCTAAAACGGTCCTATGCGAACAAATAGCAAGTTATTTCTGATACACTAAGTCTACCGAATAAATTTATGAAGAAATTGGCCACCGATTTACCCACTTTTAGGGTAATCGCAGAGTCAATCCAACCTCAGTGTAATGGTTGAATCTCGTCCGCGGAGAACCGCCTTGTTGATCACGGTATCTCCTGTGTCTTTGGTCATAACTTTCCGTTGTTGTATTTGTCGTTATATGCTGAAGAATGTTTACTGATAATGGTGTGTATTTTATATTAACATCTACAATTTTTTAAAACAATGCCCTCTGTTAAAATAATTTTTTCATTCAGATATCATTTTATGTTGCAAAACTTGCTAAATGTTGCAAAAACTTGCAAGCTAAAACGGTCCTATGCGAACAAATAGCAAGTTATTTCTGATACACTAAGTCTACCGAATAAATTTATGAAAAAATTGGCCACCGATTTACCCACTTTTAGGGTAATCGCAGAGTCAATCCAACCTCAGTGCAATGGTTGAATCTCGTCCGCGGAGAACCGCCTTCTTGATCACGGTATCTCCTGTGCCGATCGTTCATAACTTTACGTTTTTGTATTTGTCGTTATAAGCCGAAGAATGTTTACTGATAAGGGTGTCTATTTTATATTAACATCTACAAACTTTTTAAAACAATGCCCTCTTTGTTAAAATAATTTTTTCATTCAGATATCATTTTATGTTGCAAAAACTTGCTAAAAACGCCACTGGTTGGTATGATGAAATTTCGTAAATTAACCGGTCCTATGTCAACAAATAATAAGTTATTTCAGATACATTAGTGCTACCGAATAAATTTATGAAGAAATTGGCCACCGATTTACCCACTTTTGGGATAATCGCAGA